CTATAGAAGCAATGGCTTCCAACCTAATAGCGATGGCCTCCAACCTATAGAATAAGCAATGGCCTCCAACCTAATAGCAATGGCCTCCAACCTAGAAGCAATGGCCTCCAATCTAATAGCGATGCCTCCAACCTATAGAAGCAATGGCCTCCAACCTAATAGCGATGGCCTCCAACCTAGAAGCAATGGCCTCCAACCTATTAGCGATGGCCTCCAACCTCAAAGCAATGGCCTCCAACCTAGTAGCGATGGCCTCCAACCTAGAAGCAATGGCCTCCAACCTAATAGCAATGGCCTCCAAACTATAGAAGCAACGGCCTTCAACCTAATAGCGATGGCCTCCAACCTAGAAGCAATGGCCTCCAACCTAATAGCAATGGCCTCCAACCTAGAAGCAATGGCCTCCAAACTATAGAAGCAATGGCCTCTAGTAGCGTTGGCCTCCAACCTAGAAGCAATGGCCTCCAACCTATTAGCGATGGCCTCCAACCTATAGAAGCAATGGCCTCCAACCTAATAGTCATGGCTGAAAACAGGCACTCCGGGAGACCAGCCTGAGCACTCAGGCAAAAGACGATGGAGGACGAGGCCACAGAGAGCAGCAGCACTTCCTTGGGTGTCAGAACCCACATTCGCCTCACCATGCTAAGATCATGCTAAGCTCGTGAGATAATCGTCGACCAACCGCAAATGGCTCGTGCTAAGCTGTTTTTTTGCTCCCTCCACCATGTTCGGGAAAGTCAGAACGCCCCTTGTTGATTCCTTCATTAAGGTATGTCTTCAGTCTGCTGTCTTCCTGTGCGGGAGAGATACAAAAATGATGAAGGTTGTGTTGATGAAGGTTGCGTTCCTGGAGAGTGTTTACCTTGCTCTCTTGGACCATGCTACCTTCCTGCAGCAAATGCACCAAAACCCTGCTGTTGCCGTCCGCCAGTGTTTACATCTCAACAGCCTCCTTGAATTTTGAACGGAAAGCTTCACCGCCCAGCGATTCCAACAAAGCCCATGACTTCAATTGTTCCATGTCCCATAAGTCCATGGGACTCGAGCCCTAGGTATGTACGTAATAATTAAAAACACATGGAATTTATGACCCATCCATGTAGGTATTATTCCAGTCCCATGGATTTTTTTTGGGCCATGGCAACTGATTGGGACGAAGATGTCAGCTTGTCTTGAAGAGCAAAAAACCGTTTCCGTGTCAAGTAGGGAGAGTGTTGGATTGACAAATTGGTGTCAGCAAGTGTGCCGAGCAACATGTTATTGTATCAAGTTATGTTTGGGTATGTATGTCAAAGGACAACATCTACATCAACAACAATCTTGCATACCTCAGAATCAGTTCAATCCTCTTCCAAGCAGTTGAGAGCTCAAATACACTGCTCAGTCAAAGACTCCCAGGACACTCAAGGAATAGCTCGTCTGACCTTCGGGTTCCATTTGATTCAAATGCTCTCAGGCACCATCCTGCCCAAGGCGCAGCCATGAGTGCCAAGGGGTTGGCATTCAAGTTCATGAGCCAATAGACTGAGAGGATGCTGACCACCACAGATATGGCCATCACCTGGATGGATTCTATTTGGGAGAGATGAGAACAAGATCGCAAAAGTTCCATCCCTTGGGTATTGGAGGACAAGGTCCGTGGTCCACTATTGGGTCTACAAATGACTGCTAGGATTTCTCCATGGATAATAACACCAGCACACCAGCTAACATCTTCAGCTTCCCTCAGCTTCCCTCTGCCAGAAAGTAAGCAACCAAGAACACGTATATAGCCTATAGCTCTTCCTGGACACTTAATTTGCCCCACCTCCGCACCAAGACCCCCAAACCACTGGTTTGTATAGTTTTAGTTTTTTTTCCAGGTCGTCTTCCCAGAGTGGTTGTCGTTAGTTTTCCGGACATCATTTGGCTGCGATCTCGGTTGGAAACGTAGGTCTTTTTCTATAATCTGTCGCCTCGGATCATCATGAATCGTCATGGTCATCCTGGCCAGAACATCTTCAAGTGGAGCATGGTGGAGCATCGTCTTTATAGATGCTCTAAAAAAGCATTCAAATTTTATCAAATTTTAGATGGCCCCCCCCGAAACCAAGAAATCCAGCGGAAGGGTTCATCGTCCGCATCTCTTCCAGCTCCTTCCGGCACTCCACACTTCAATGCGGTGACGTTTATCATTAATTGTGTTCCTATGTGTTCCTCCACATTCCCAGTGGCTGGAAATTCGAACAAGGTCTTGGAGAGGAAGTAGGAAAAGTTGGTGTAGTATCCACTGGACGCTTCTCGAAGAAAGCCTGGGACTCTCCAGGAACGCTCGCCCAAACACGACATGCTTAGGGTCCTTGCGCTCTCTTTGGAGTCTGCAAGTAGACCCAGCAACCCCAGCAACCATCGACTTGGTTCACGCTACCATCCAAAATGCACAAAGAGCGAAAAGGAAAGTGAACATGTGTTGCGGGTCGATTTTGAGAGAGAGAGAGAGACAAACACACACACAGACACTCTTGATCACAATTGGCACCCTGTCACCGGTTCAGCTTCTATAACAATTTCATCATATTTCATCCATGTGGGACGCAAAAACAGAACCGACTTGTTGGGTGGCATTGATGACTCCTGCCGCGCATCCATCCTTAACCAGTCGGTGCACAGGTCCACCGGAGGGTCACCGACGATCTCCGTCGAAGAACACAGACCGAGCCCCAACACGGTCTTGGAAGGCCCAGTGGGACGGGGAAACCGAAACCCAGAGCATCCATGGGACTGGATTTTTTACCCACATGGATGGTTCAGAAATGTTTTAATGAATGTCACTATTTTTGAAAAATTGATAAAATGGACAGTCCGGGAAAGGAGATCGGCCGTTCAGGTCGAGATATGGCTGCATGGCACCAGGTAGGTCAACCCGTTGACGGTGTCGGTCTAACTCGCAGCAAGCATGGATAACCGGACTGGGTTCCAGATGGACTGATCCATGCCCACATCACAGCTCGTTGGTGACGAAGAACCAAAAAAAAAAACAAATCTTCAGCCAACATCGACTGGAAGCCAGTCACAGGACTCAACTGGAAGCCTGCGACCATTGCGACCAGTCTCGGAACTGCCCTCAGCCAATTTCCAGTGCTTGTGTGTATATACTGTATATGCCAACTGTGCAAAACATGACACACTTCATCTACGCAACCAGCCGAGTTCGGCAGACATGTTGCAGAATTGGAAGATCCATGTGTCATATATATATATAATTAATAATATAACTATATGACAATATGATTTGAATTGGTTTGAACTGATGCTCAATGATATGCATACAAAGATATGATACGGATTGATATGGCATTATATGGTTTGATCTGATATGCATACAAAGCTGTACCTTCGTAATCTGCTTTCTTCTCCACGTGTTGCCGACCGAAAAACAGGAGCGTTCGTTCTGGAAGACCGTGATGGCCCAAGTGATGGAACCTTGGCATCGTGGAGACCGGCCAGGCCTATGGCTGAAAAGGTATCAAGGGCTCCGCTTAATGATCTGGGAGAATTAATTTGTGGGTCCGTGGCTGATGCGCTGCGCGATTTTGTTTCACTCAGTCTGCATGATTGCATTATTGTTGAAATCATGATTGCATGAGCGATGATGCAATCTTTCGGAAAAATGTGGATCATCAAAACCGCAACACCTTTCTGACTCTTTCTGTCATGCAACTCACTGCTTAGGGCCTCATGAAGTCGATTGCTTTGACTGGTATCCCGGATAGCCCATGTCGTGATACTGTTTCTGCCCAATGACAAGTCTACCCAGTTCTGATTCTATATATATATACAGTAGTCAACCTGGTAATGTAGACTCTCGATTATGATAACTATTTTTCCATCTGATGCGGCTGAATCGAAAGGGATCGGTGCTGAAAGAAATCCGAACCATCCAAAGGATGCCGCACGATAATCCCTAAGTAGTGGGCTGGGTAGTCCACCTATAGACAACGTCCGCTCCTGGAACCGGTCGAAATCCGTCTGTCTCCGCTGAAATCAATCCTCCGGTGCACCCATCATGGTGTTGATGGCCACGATGCTCAAGGCACCCCAGTGGACCTGCAAAGCTTCGCGCTCCGCGATGCTGGGCTGTCGGCGGGTTTGGGTCTTCCAGCACGGAGGCTCAAGGCATTTCGTGGGCATGACCAAGTCTACCGCCCCAATAGGATTGGATGACGCGGTCATTTTTTTTGGACGTAGGGTCAAGACATGTCAAGACCCCCAATGTAGTCACAAAATTGAAGAGCTGTTTGTTGCGACACCTGGTGCTTCTCGATTTTTGTCTTGTGGTTCCCTGCAGTGCTTGGGTTCGGGAGTCTTTCTTCGACTGGTGTAGCCTTGAGGACCCATGGCAGCTGGTCCATGGCAGGCTGTGTGGAAGAATCGTAGTCCCCCCCTTTGGAGAGTCCATGCCATCATGTGCACATCCAAAAATATATATATATATTATATATCACGGATCATCATGAAACATATCCCTTCTGGTCCAATTGAGCGTCGTCTCATGAATCACTTCGCCCGGGAGTCGATGATCCTCCTAGAGCCGCCGGCACCGCCCCCCCCCCCCCCGCCTGAAACATGCGAACACATTGATCCCGAGCTAAAGCTTTGGCCGGATGGTTCCGCAGCACCTCGTCATCGCAGGGCTTAATGCCTGAGTCAGATGTGTTTTTCTCGAAGACGGCGTCGGTTTGACCAGGAGAATAAAGCCCATGAACGAATCAATATTATGGAAGTTGAGCTGAAGTGTGTGTGTGTGTGTGTGGTCTCGAATAGGTCGCAAAAGGCATTACTGTAAGTATATCATATATCTGTATGTATGTATGTATGTATGTATGTATGTATGTATGTATGTATGTATGT